CCCGTTACAACCGCGGCTTTGGGGCCGGTTAGTGACGACCCGGGCGGTCGCTCGTTGTATGGGGCTGCTTTGGGAGCTGCGCCTGTGCTCTGGCAAATACGGTAGCACATTACTGTTGTTGTTATTGGTACTTTTATTATTGTTATTATTTTATTTATTATAAAATCTTAAAGTGGCTCACTCTGCATGTTGCCCTGCAGCACTTGTGTGCAGATCTTGCCCCTGCCTGTAAGGAAAGGGTTTGTGTGCTTGAGTCCAGGCTTAATCTATAATATTATCCTGCAACAGCATGTTCTAAATTTTAAACAATTTATTAGTTTGAGAATCCTTGATCAGTTTTCCCTAGTAATATTAGAGCTGGGAGAAGAACTTAAGGAGAGAGTTGCCAGCCGCGTGGTCCTGGTGCCTGAGCAACCGGCTGGCTGCCATGGGAAGGTGCCGTGTTAGGGCATTTCTGGAAAAAAGAGCAAGGGAAGGAAAGCTTGGGGTTCTTTTCTCACTGTTTCTTTTTCAGTCGTTTAATGATTGACAATGTAATGTAATCTGGTCATTTCTTTTTTTCTTCTCTGAACAGCAGAAAAGCAGCTACTTCAAATATGTATGTAAAAAGTTCAAATATAGTCTGTCTGCCACTGTTGTAGTTGAAGGAGGAGGAAAAAAAAAAGGCATTATCTAATAGGAGTTGCTTGTGATGCCTGTGTCTCTTCCATGTGGAATAACCTATTTACCTCCCATTTCCTCTCCCATGTGTTGCTCTTGATTGGTTGCTGCTAGTTAGCATGTAGGTACAATCATAGATTTTTCAGAGTACCAGAGTAATTAGACTCCACAGCCACCTGAGTATTTAGAGACACAAATGTGCATTCTGGAGGTTGTTTTAAAAAACAGCCTAAAATCCCCAGGGACTCAATGCCTAAACTGTGTTGCAAAAATCTCCCTGAATTGTGAAGTGCAGACTTGAACACCAAAATACTTTTGAAGAAGGGCAATGTAGGAGTAAGGATAATGTTTTTAGAGTCTTAGGTTTGTAGTCTTAAGCTCTGATTTCCTGAATACAGTGTTTTGCTTTGATTAGCAAATGTTCCTGCCTGAAATCTTTAGCAGCAAGCAGTAACTTGTCATTTGTTTTTCCTTACCTAGTAAATAATTAGGTTACAAGGTAGTACTTTGGGGATTTCATGCACTCCTTATCTCAGAGTTTTGATGCAAAGATGGAATGGGGGGAAATGGCCATGAACTTGCTCTTTAGTCAATTTTCCTGGCCTTGATCAGGAGGGCAAAGCCGAAGGGTGACTCCTTCCATGCAGCAACATACCCCGGGGGTAGCTTTAGCTCTGTGTCACCCCCTCTGGCTATTTCTTCATTCTCCTGTACCTGGACGGTGTTAGGATCATTATTTCTGCTTGATAATCATGTGTCCTCAAAAATACCTATTTTTAGAGGATTGACACGTTAGGGTAACTTGGATCAGTTTTAGAGACAGAGGGTGTAAAAGAGAGGGGTATTGGCACTTTTGCTTCATTTACTGCTTATACTTGCACTTTTTTATTATGGAGAATAAGATTTTGGGTGCCTAAAGTTAAATGAAGCATAGTTTGCTTTCTGTTTTATACAGGATTGGCTGTGTTATAGTTACTTGGCACTTAATCTTCAGTGGCTGCTGGTGAGGACTGTGTTTGAGGTGTGGGTGGTCAAGTCAATGACTTGTATAGCTCAGTGCTGTGCTTACCACTGTGATTAAGCTTGCAATTAGCCCTTCTTTTTGAACATCAGGCCAGGTGCTTCGTGCTGCGGGTGGTTTGCAGCAAACACGTAGCAGTGCTGAGGAGTAAAACACAGGAGCGTTGTCCAGTGCGCGCTAGGACGCTTCAAGCAGCTGCTCCTGAAGGTCCACGCTGGTAACTTAGATGCAGCTCAGTGTGAAGAGCTGGTGTAGAAGAGTGTCCGTGAAAACAGCTCATTCCATTATGGAAAAGTTGCCTCCTGTCCGAGTGTTTCCCTGTTTTGTATGTACTTACCCCAACAGGGTGTGCGGCTGTAGTGGCTTCCTTGCGGTATGGATGGGGAGCTGCAGCAAAGAGACTGGGGCTCAGTATCATAGAAATATTCCATGTCCTACCCCTGCTGGCTTAAATGAGTGTGACTAATCCAATTATACATTGTGATAGTACTCACACATTTAGTGGCCCTCGCTGGATGCCTTTTGTACTACTTTTTGACCTCTAGAAGTTGTACTTATGTATTTAGGTGCTATCTGAGTATTGCCAGGACTTACTGAAGGCCGGTTAACATTGTTGCACCTCTGGGTGTTGTTAAGTTTAAAGCATGACAATGGGGTGTAACAAAGTAAAAACAAAATTTCCAGGGTGAAAATGGTCTGGTCTATCCCTGTGTGCAGGGGCTGCCCAAGAAGGGTCTTGAAACAGCAACTGAAATTGGGCAGAAATGCAGGCTCCTGGTTGTGCTGGTGAGTCTTCATGGGAGGTTATAGATGTTTGTATATCACCTGGCTCTCATTGCAATGAGGAACAAAACAAGATAGAAAAATCTGGAAAGCTTTTTGTGTGAAGCTGTTTTTCTGATAAGCTCAGCTGGTGGATCAGCTTAAAAAGCTACCAGTGTATGGCCAAAATGTGTGACACAAAATGTGTGCTGTGCTCTAGAAAGACTTTTTTTTTTCTCTTATTAAATGCATTGTTTCTTGCACCTTATTAAAATGAATTATAGAATAATTTTATCTTACTGTATGTTATCTTTTTTCCTCTAGTGAAACCAAAAGGCTGGAATTAGAGAAAGAACTGCTTGACTACAGAAAATCTGATGCATACTTGTAAGACAACTTGAAAACTTCATATGATTATTTTATTTTAGTTGTGAGAATTTAGGAATAATGTGATGCTTTGAGAATGGTGTCCTAACAATTTTTATAACAGTAATTTTATATTCACATCCTAAATAGAGACAAAAAGCCTGCATTATAAGTTATTGATGAAGTAACTTCAATAATAATGGAAGTTCCATTATTACTTCCATACTAAACACCTTTCTGTTTTAATACTGACACGTTGTCTTAGTAATGACTAATGTTACCTGGTTTTGTGCAACTTTTGCAAACTCACTACAGCACAGTTTATGATTAAAACATCCAGGAGTCTTGGGACTTTTAGACTTCAGGGGCATTCTGTGTTCTGGTCTTGGTTTGTTTAGTGTTTCTTTCCTCAAATGTGGCTTGTAAAGCTCATCAAAATGAGTCTTCTCACTTACTTCCAGGACTGAGGGTTAGGTGACCAAATCCCTTAGGAACTCCTGTTCTTAAACAGAGCCTTTATACTAGAAAATTAACATGCATATTCAGGAAAAAAAGTCTAAATATGACCAAATGCATATACTTCCTTTTCGATCTATTGTAATCTAACATGTTTTGAGATGAAGTTTCTCTGGAAGTATTGGCAGCTTGGGGAATTTCATTTGCAATTTTGTAGTTGATTTGAGTCAGACTGTAGGCAAACTGAGACCAGAAGAGATGATTCTGTCTGCCCCTGGTTCATGTTTTCCTTTTTCTGGCACTAATAGTTTGTGTCTGCACTGTAATCAGGTAAGGGAATTGATTTGTCTGAAAACAAATCTGTTTTTTGGGTGAGTGAGAACTAGTTTAGGGTTATTTTCAGCTGGATGGCTCTTGGCCTGATTTATCATGTGGCTGTGTAATGGACAGTACTTGCATAAAAAAGAAAGTCCAAGTGAGATGCTGCTTGTGGTCGCAGCTTGGATTAGGGTTGGCTTAAAACAGATGCAGAATCACAGTATCACAGCTCGTATCTCAAAATACTACTTTCATTTTAAGTTAGTGATATGTATGTCTAGAGCACAACCCATTTAAAAGTAGTTTTTTGGAAGTTTACTAATATGTTTATTTTTCAAACACCAAACATCATGTTCAAATCTTTAGCTATATACCAATAACATTCTGTAAGTTTTTTGAAAAAAGATTGAGATATCAATGTATTTAATTTTATGAGGTTTTCAATGCAGTTTCTTATTTTCCCCTGTAGAGCGAAACTGAAATACATGAAGCTAAAAAAGTACTTGAAAGAAATAGAGGAGCGGCAAAAAAAGGCTCTTCTGCGAAATCAGACGTTTTTGAAGGAATTCATCGAATTTGAAGCTCATATGAAAACTTCAAGTGCAGAGATAATTCAGAAGATGGAAGTAATTTTTTTCAAGATGTAATACAAAAGTGTTTGCTGCTATTACAATGGTTGCTACATTGGTTTTGTTCATGTGTTGTGTACATTGGGGATTTTTGAAATTTTGCTTGCATGAGTACCATAAATGATCAGTTAACCTTGCCCTCACCTTATTGTCAATAGCTCCATCAATGATGGAAGTATAAGAGTTAGGCAACTCCTTTTAACTAATATTTGCCATGTTTGAATGATGTGGAATGAAGCAGAGCTAAAGCGAAGCCGCAGTGAATCCTGCTACTAGTCTGTTAACTGGCAGTGCCTCTGCATTGGTAACAGAGAAAGCTGCTGTTGCTCCAGGGTACAGCACTCACATTTTGGCTCTTGGTAATGTTGTTGTGCTGGTACATAGACTTCCAGAAGGGAGCTCAAGTTTGAACTTCCCTGCTGGGCTGGTAAAGTGGAGCCTGAGGAATGTTTCATCACCTCGTGTCCTTACCTGTGCAAGACAACTGATGTGATAGAAAGTGTTAATATTAAATGACTGCTATAAATGGAACCAATCCCCAGCACAGTATTTACTTCTTGCTTGCTCCTTTATAACACCCAAAGGAGATGGCAAATGTTTTTCTTAGCTTTCTTCACTCCTGACCATGACTGTTACCATCTCAAAGGCGTACATTTACCAAAGGGAGCTTATTAGTGATTTTTGCTTAGTGTTGACATTTTGAGAACTTCTACTGGGATGAAATATTTTGAAAGTCTATTAAATTAATACATGACTGTTTAGTTTTAAAAGACTAACTAGTCTAAAAGTTTCTGCCTGCGGTAGAAAAGGTGAATGGTCATTCCATTTGAAAAGCAAGATTAAAGCTGTGCTCCCAAGGACAGTGACCTTCCAGCAGTTACTTTTACACCTCTGCTACTAATGCTGTGCCTGCAATTCAGCTGTTCTGGTCAGGAGTTCGGACTGTAGAAACAGTCACCAGTAAGTCCACCAATTTCTGAAGTGTTTCTTCTTTGGAGGGCTGCACTTGTCTCCTGATAATCCCTATGGGGCTCTGTTTTCCTCACGATGCCTGGAACTGGAAGGCAGGGGGAACTCTTGGGTGTCCTTTATGTAGTGAATCTACCTAGAACTTTTAAAACTGTATAATAACAAAGTCTGTGGAAGTAAAACCAGTGTGTATAGCGATTTAAGTGTTGAGATAAAATCGGCTACTGCTAGGCCTCTATTATTATTTTTTAATGCTTTAGTAAAACTTGATTTCTTTGCTTGCCTATCTTTCAGCCCCTCTCATTTGCAAATACGAATAGACTTTTTTGTTTCTCTTTTTAATCCTCTTAGGGTGACTGCAGTCAGGCCTTTCTTCATGGTTTTGTATCAGTCATACTGTTTATAGGCTGAATGCTTGCATTTGTATTGCCTTTTTAATAATTAGCACAAATAAGAAACCTCTATAATAGTAAAGAGCTTTCTGCATGTCTTTTGTCCTAAATGTTTGAAATGAACTTGATCAGGATCCATATTTAGGGTTTTATAATAGAAAAGATATTTTCTAATCATAACTCATGACTGAAGTACTTTCAATCTAATAGGCTACTGCTGGGCAGCAGCCCTGCCTTGGGGATTTTGAGCCATGTTATTAATAGCATGCTGCCTCCTATTAACTGCAGAACAATTAGGGTGCTGCAACGTGATACAGACTGCTAATGGACTTGGATTTAAAAATAATTCTGGTGATCTCTGGTCCTGCACTAAATAGGTGCAGTCAGGATTTGGGGAGGCAAAAAATGGGCGTTCAGCTCCTGGATGATGATACAGGACTGACAGGCTGGGCTTTGGGAGTGGGAGATAACTGATCTATCTATGCTGAATCCTTCAGAAGTAAGGAAGCCCTTTGGAAAAGGGTGGTAACTCATTCCCACTGCAGTAAATCAATTAGCTGGCTAGCACCCCGTGCCTGCATAGTCATCTTAATAAATCTCCTTGCCATCCCGGCTGGTGATTTTAAGCCTGTTGGGTCTGACTTTCATGGAGCAGCTTTTCCTTGCTTTTTTTGCATAGCGCTTTCTGCTGCCTTCTTGGGAGCCTGCTGGCTTTGGACACCTCGTGTGGCCACACGTGTGTCTTGCTGCCACCGTGCTGGGAAGCGTGACAGGGCACCCATGGCATAGAGCAGGGGCTCTAAGGAGAGACCTAGGGCTCTAGGTATTTTCTACTCTTTCCTTAATTCAACTTAGTTATGTGTAGCCCAGAGTCTGTTCTGGGACATTATTTCCTTTTTTTAACTCTGATATTAGATTGCTTGTTTTTTTTAGGGCTTTCCTTGAGTAACTTAATGCCATCATGTATTGGTATGCTGTGCCCTGGGTTGATCTGCTTGGGTGTTTTCATTCATTACTTCCATTTTGATGTTTCTATGCCATCCATTTTACACTTGCTGGGTTAGACTGATTTTTTTTCTGAGCTGTTGAACAAAGCACAGATTACAGACCCTTCATGTCACAGTTCTGAAAAGCCCACTTGTCATGGATTGCATGGCAGCTATAAACAATACAATAATTTCATTTATCGCGAAAGTACCCAAACAAATTACTATATTTTCCATTTTTGCCTGAGAGAATACATTTTAGGAGAGTTTTATCAGAACTGTATGCAGAATTTATTGTATAGCTGTAGCTGACAAAACTACTTCAGTTTCTGATATTTTTTCTTGTGTTAGTTTGTCCAAAGTTTGTTCAGTTTTTGTTGGGAACATAAGTAAAATCACCTAAGCTTTTGGGGAAAATCAGTGTTATATCCACACTTACTTGGAGCACAGGTATAATTATTGCATGGGTGTGTGTTGTTTTTAAGTATTAATGTTTTAAAATGTTATGAATTGCTTCTATGACCTGGAAAATAGCAGACTTTCTTGAATTTATTGTTGGAATGAAGCATAGAGCTGTTCAAGTTCATTGTTTCAAGACTTAAATTTGTGCACATTATCTGATGCAAAATAGGTATTGAAGTGCATTCATTCTGGACCAGTGTAACTTGTTATTGGGGTTTACAATTATTAGCAAACAGGATTAATTATAGATGCTGCTTGTGCTTGGCTTTTAAGCAGTAGCCCTCCTCCAAATGTGTTACGTTCAGTCAATTAAACAATGTAGTGGAGGTGAAGGTATTTTATGCAGTTGTTTGTTAGTAACACTAGATCAGGGTGCCTTTTATGCTGTGTTGCTCTTTATAACATCTGCTGTGTATATATTTTTTCCTTATAATAGCTCGGAGGCCTTAATATGATGAACGTTAAACAAATGCTAAAGCTCATTTCATCACCAAGCAGTTGAGTCATTGTCTGGCTGCAGCAAAAATAATTTGGCATTACAAAGCACGTTGTGATTAAGTCTGAGTCAAGTTTTTGCTACTTCATAGCCTTCTAAATTAGATGAAGAAATAAATATACATAAAAAGCCCACAGAGGGCTGCATGCAAGCCACCTGGCTTGTTCAGGGAAACAGGAAAATTAGGGGGAAAAAGAGATATTTCTGTCTTTTTAAGTGTAGACGAAGTAGAGGGATGCTTGACATCATACTTGAAAGTGCACAACTTGCACAATAATATATATTGATTTGCAGTCAATATTTGTTGATTTGTGTTTGTGCTTGCTTTTAATATTATGTAATGGTTTTGTTCATGTTTAGGTCCAGTATGGAAGAGAAATTAGAAGTGTGTTATCCCATCAAGGGAGTAGCTTGTCGGCACGAGGTGAAGAAGGCAGTGAGCAGGTAATGCAAAATAAGTGTGGGGGCAATGTGTGTTTTAATACAATACTTTAGGGGGAAGCACCTTAGTGTAACAAGAGCCAAATGTTGTCATGTGAAGACTTTAGGTGGGGTGTTTTTTTACTGTGGATGTGGCACAGTGGTTTTTAGACATCTGAGTAGAATAATGTGGATAAATAGTGCAGTTCTTTCAAAGAACTAGAATTAAAATAGGGGAGGGTGGGAAATCTGAATGTTTATAGTCATCTTTGCTGGGTTTGATCTTTGTGTGCTAAATAATATAAAAATGGTATGAGCCTAGGAAAAAATTCTTGATGAATGGTATATTAAAAAAAAAAAAGCCTCAATTGATTTGTATGTTGTATTTATAATTTTGTACATTTTGACCTTTTCCTCAGAAGAAGCAAAAGAGATCGCATATCTAAGTAACAGACAAAAAGACTGACAAGGAATACTTAAATATATTCTGCTATATATCTGCAGTAATGCAGGCTTCTAATCCCTCCTCCTATCTCCATATAAATGATACAGTTCAAGACCATAGCTGTTTTCTTCACTAAAAGCAGTAAAGCCCTTTTAGATGAAATGTCTAAAAACATCTTGTAATAACTTGGAGCATGCTGGCAAGAGTAGTCACTTGTGACTATGTGTGAAACCCCCTCAGCTAGTCGATATTGTAATAAGCAGCAATGGTAGCATCACTCCATTATGCAGGAAAGCCACCAGCATGCTTGTCCCTTAGGCTACAGCATTCATTAAGAAAAGCTTACTGGGCTGAAAGCTGGAAACAGATGATAACGGGATATGATTTTCATATTTAATGCATTCCTTGGAAGAGTATGTGTGCTGCAGATTGATAGAAGAATCAACTGCTACTTTACTAAAAGACTTTCTAGTTTGCCCTATAGCTACCGATGGAATCATTCAGCCAAGAAATTAACTTTTTCTCCTTTTACCTGCTTTATATATCTGCTAAGCAGCCTGCCTGGCTGCCAGTAAATGTTATTATGCAGTTAAATGTTTGGTATTTAAGACTCTTATCAGAAAAGAAACAGAGGCCACACTATTTTGTTTTTATAGTAGGAGGAAGGTTTTCGTTTTTCTTTCTTCGGTGCATTAGCAGTCGTTAATCTGAGTTTATAGGAAGTTGGGTTTTTTCCCCCCCATAGATTAAAAAGTTAAAAACCTTGAATTTAGAGCGTTCTCTAGACAGTAATATACAAAGCAACGAACCTTAGCAACCTTGACCTATATAAGCAGGCCTTCAGCAATCTGTGTGCATTAGAAACATGGTTCACATATGTGGAAAGATGAGTTTACTTTTGAATACTGGATTCTTTAATTAAAAACAGTTTGTGTGGGAAATGCAATTTTCAACCTATAAAGAGCTGTTTTTACATAAATACTAGACCCCAAAGGCTCATGGTGACATTTAAGTTTTAAAAAGGTTAAATTGTTTTGGACAATACAGGAACTTGTTACATAACCGAATGTTATATATATAAAATACGAGACAATACAGAAACTTGTTACATAACCAGTATATTAAATAATAGCTTGATTAGAAAGTCTTTTCTGTCCCTTTTTTTCTCTTTCTCTCTAAATACAAAGATATTGCACTAAATGGTATCCTTGTGGCAGGGAGTATAACTTGGGTATGTTAGCATATCTTAAAAACCATTGCCTCTTTGGGGTGCTTGATACCATTTGGCTGAAATAAGTCTGCTCTGAAGAAGTAGCTGGAGAGTTAAAATTGCTGCCCTGGTGGATGGTCTGTCGATGTTTGTACCTGCATCTCGGATCTAGTTTTACAGCTCAAGGTTTTTTTTGACTAATCATGTCTAAAAGGCAATTTACTACTCAGCTCACTTGAAATCTGCTGAAGTTATGTTAAAAATACAAGAAATAATGTAAATTTGTTAAATTATTTATCAGAGCTGTTAAAATACTGTGGCTTCTGGACTAGTTAGGATGCCAGTGATCCTGTGGTCATGTTGTCAGTGATGCTTGAGCTTGCATTTATCCATGGTTTCCGTGGCAGATTTTGCTGGCTTATTTGAAGACCTGGGTTAGGTCAGTGTATCTCAAAACCTTAATTCTGAGAAGTTTTGTGAAAGATTGAAAGAACTAGTATGTGTTTGTCTCAGTTTTATATTTTTATGTGAATTAATTTCACTGTTGGGAAAGAAGGTGAGATGTTAGCTAAGGAAGCAACTGCCTAGAAGTTCTATGCCGTAATGTATTGTGCTAGCATGGTAAAAACCTTAAAATGGTGTTTAAGAACCTTTAAAATAAAGGGAAAAGGGATAACCTAGACTTGTGCATAGTAGTTTCATCACAGAAAACTCCTTTAGGTAGTGGCAATTCAGAAAATATAATCTATTTATTTTGTATGTCTTGAGAAATGAGCAAAAGCATTAATTTCGAAACATTGCTGCCTTTTATGTAATTTTGCTGTTAATAAAACAAATGAGACTAAGCTCTTGGTTAGACTGTCAGTCCTGCCAACTGCTACAGGTGCCTCCAAGCAGCCAAGATCGCTCTGGTACCCTGGGGAAGCATCTTGTAGGGTTGGTTGCTGCTGTGGTGGTAGTATCCTGGATTTGGAGAGGGAGAAATGGAGTGTTGTCTTAGTTATATGTCTCACTATTGGTGTGATCACTGGGCAAGACACAGGTGAAGGTAAACTCCTTGGAAGGATGAGTTTGTATAAGGAAGGCAGTAGAAAAACTGCTAAGATGCATTAAGAGAACTGGCTGTGGCTGGGCGGCCTCCCCAGCTCTCTCTGAGGGCACTGGCCTTCTCTAGACATCATTTTTTCAGATTCAAAGGGGGCTTCTGAAGCACCTGTAGCAACTGCTCCAAGCAACCTTTCCCTGCCACTCCTGGACCTGGGAATATTTCAGTGCAAGGGGAGGGGACTGGTAGCTTTCTTCTTCACCCTCTGCTCCAGACTTTATGTGTATGCTCTTAGCTCTGGGATACTACACTACATAAGTCTCACCAAGTAATATACAAGGTAATAAACAAATAAAAGTAATAGTTACAGTAGAATTAATAATGGAAAAGGATTTTCAATGATTTCTATTGGGAGGGCTATATGTCTTACTTTGTTAAAAGACTTTAAAGATTAGTTTTATTTCTTGTACTTCAGTCTATTTTAATATAGTTGGAGGTGCAATAAACTTTTGCCACTGGCTGTTTTCATTCACAGAGTTTCTTTTGGGCCACAATCCCTCATTTTTTACACTGCTTTTCTTTAGAAGACTTTTTTCTCCATCCCATCTATCTGCCAATTTCAAATCCTCCATATGTTTCTTGTGTGTGGTAGCAGTGGGGAAGATGTTTGTTTACAGGTAACATCACATTTTCAGAGGAACGCTTCTTAAGTGTTTGCATAATTCCTTATAATGCTGTAATACTGTGGAGACTCTTCCTACTCACTTGTGGAGAACTCTCCCTACTTACTAGGGAGGGAATAGAACAAAACTGAAGTAGAGATGTACAAACGTGTAGCTGTAAGTGCCAGACTTGCAGCCTTGATGAAGGGTGTTAGTTTCTAGCTGTTTTTATGAAGCAATGTTCATAAGCACTTGAAAACATGAGGAAATGAGTGGGGGAAATGGCCTTCTAAGCTCATGGGACTTTGTGTTTTAAAACCACAGGAAGAATTGAATGTCCAGAACATGAACTGGTGGAGTTGTCAGAAGCCACATTGAAAACGAAGGCCAAGCAGAAGTTCTTCTGCAGAGTCTTGCTAGCTTCCCGTAGCATCGTAGATAATTGGCTTATCCTGTGTTAGAATTATTAATTTTTAACATTTAAAAAAAAAGAAAATTGAAACAGTGTGATCAAGAGAAGCGATGAGGTAATTGCTGCCTTTTGGCTGATAACTTTGACTCCACCACTACTAGTTTCTCTGGTGACTGAAATAGCAAGCACTTACCAAAACCAATTTAGCATTTGGCAGACATTGGCAGGTTTGCACTTCATTTCTTTTAAAGCAAACGAAAAATTACTGAAAATATTTAAATTATATAAAGACTGCTCTTCAGAAGCCATCATGTAAATGCCTGGAAATTCCATTTGCAACTTTGTTTTTTAATCCATCTTCAACGTGTATTTTTTCAGGTGCCGCTTGTTGCAAGACAGGCAGGAATTAACCCTGGGACAGCCATGTCAAGAGGATTGTATCACCCAGCAACAATCTTTATGGGCCGCCAAATGTCAGCCATCTCAAGCACTGAAGATTTCAGCACACAGCAGAAATCTTTCCAGCCCACAAAGAGCTTTTCATTTTCTGACCCATATTCATGCAGACAGGCAGCACAGAGCAGTAATGTGACAGACAGCTGTGTAGTACAAACTAATAGTGATATGCAGTGCTTAAATAAGCCTGACAAAAAAGATGTGGGGACAGATCTCCAGATGGGTGAGAAAATGCCAGTCACATCCAGTATATCATCTGAGAATGGAAGAACTCACTGCTCAGCAATAGAAAGTAATACAAATAACAGGGAAATTAATTTAGCAGGAAGTGAGAAGCCTGCTTCCACAGGAAAGTGTGCCAGGTATGACAGTGCCTGTGTGTCTGTGATGGCCTTGTCTCTACTTAGTTGTCTGCTTCAGAAGGCATGTATGACCAGTGTGATAGAGCAAATAACTCTGCAAATGGTAAGAAAGAGGCTGGGATGGGTTTTGGAGGAGCAGTATTGAAAAACTTGGTGTGTTGAGCTGTGCAGGAGATGTTTGTGTTTCTGGGGACATCAAACTACATCAAGAGAAACGGATCTGGCACCATCAGCAAGTCCCTCTCTGTCCTTTTCCTTCCTTTATGTTGCTTTATTTAGCATGTAGGCTGTTTGGTTTTGAGGCACTGATCTTGGTCGATATTTTGGTAGCGTAAGTTAATATTGTATGAGTTGGCATTGCTGGGGATAGCTGGAAATGGTGAGGTGAGGTCAGTGAAACTCCAAAGCCTGGAGCTGACACCAATGGAATGAGAAGGGGGATGACCGGGTGTCCTCCCAGGTCATTCATTTAGACATGCAGAGGCTTGTTGGGGCCACCTCTGTTGAGCTTCTCTTGATTCCTCAGGTGTTCTGAGGTTCTACAGCTCTGAGCTTCTACTCTGCCGAGGACACTTCTCGTCTTCGTCAGGCAAATAGACATGCAGAGGCTTGTTGGGGCCACTCTCTGTTCAGCTTCTCTTGGTTCCTCAGGTGTTCTGAGGTCCTACAGCTTTGTGCTTCTACTCTGCCAAGGACACTTCTTGTCTTTGTCAGGCAAGATGGTGATTGGGCCTCTTGAGCTCTGCTCTCAGGACCTTGTCTTCTTGCTTTCTACCATGAGTAGACAAAATGGAGAACAAGGCACGTGCAAAGAAGCAATTTAAAGTAAGTAGCTGTAGCTGGGGTACCTATTTTATTGTGTCCAGTTCTGGGCCCCACAGTACAAGAGGGATGTGGAGCTGCTGGAGAGAGTCCAGCGCAGGGCCACAAGGATGATCAGGGGCCTGGAACATCTGCCCTATGAGGAGAGGCTGAGGGAGCTGGGCCTGTTCAGCCTGGAGAAGAGAAGGCTGAGAGGGGACCTGAGCAGTGTCTAGAAGTACCTCAAGGGAGGCAGTGAGGAGGATGGTGCTGGCCTCTTTTCACTGGTGGCCAGAGATAGGACAAGAGTGAACAGCCACAAACTGAAACACCAAAAGTTCCACAGGAACTTAAGGAAAAATTTCTTAACAGTGAGGGTGACAGAGCACTGGAACAGGCTGCCCAGAGAGGTTGTGGAGTCTCCGTCTCTGCAGATCTTCCAAACCCGCTTGGACGCAGTCCTGTGCCACGTGCTCTAGGTGACCCTGTGTGTGCAGGGGGGTTGGACTAGATGATCTCTAGACGTCCCTTCCAACCTTAACCACTCTGTGATTCTATGATTTTTACTTTGCTCAGAAGTTCTGGACCTTCTGCAGTCTTTCCTAGTGCCTGCTATGAGGCTACAGTGGTTTTATAGCCTTGTTGCCTACTCAAGACAGGCCTCAAAGCTTATAGGAACTCCAAGATCGCTGTCCTGCAGGGGTGCTTTCTGTCGAGCTGGAGGCGGCTACTTTCAGGTACATTTTGCTAGGCCTGATGCCCTTGCCCATCTGTGGAAGGGCAAACTGCTCGGAGCTGCTGTAGCTCTGTGTGATGGGATGCTTATCCAAGCCTAATTCAAGCCAATAGTAGCTCCTATGTTATAGCAGTAAAGTCATTTTCACTTTCTGTGCACAGTTTTCTTAAAATGAGGCTTAAACTAATTGAAGAGCTACCAGTGCTTCTGGGACAATATGTATGGTTTCCATTTGGGCTTGACTTCCTTCCCCTTCCAAAGTTTGTGCAGATTAGTTCAACCATATCTAAAAAATGGAATTTGGAAAGAGAGAATAGGAATCAGTATTTTCACTTGCTTTACTGCTTGAATTATTGTTCTCCAGTTTGTTCCATGCCTTGCTAAGAAATCGATGCAGTTTGCCCCAGCTGAAATGTTTTTCTGCTGGGATAAAATGCTGTACCTCCTCTCAAGACCAGACTGCCAGTTTTCCCCCTCCCTAACCATTTTGCCAAGATGTGTTCTGTCCTACTTTACTAGCTTGATTACTTACTTTCACAGTAAGCTAATGGACTTGTTTTTAAAGTCCTGATGTCAGATGTGTCACTAAGTAACAGTTTATTCCCTTTAAACATCTTCAGAAACATTCTCCCCTGCCTTTCCTGTAAACGTGGCAATTTTCAAGTTAAACTAGTTTTCCAAGCCACATAACGATTGCTAAAATGGAGCTTTTTATAATGAAAGCTGATGGCAACCCTAATGATGCAGGGGCTCCTGCTCTCCTGTAATGATCATGGTTTTCTTTATAGCCAGAAGTTGGCATCCCTGTCAGATGATCTTCTGTACTATATATATATATATTTTCAGGCATCCTTTTTCTAGAGTGTTTTTTTACTATTTTTTTTCTCTGTGGATTTTATTTGCCTCACTTTCTTTCATGATGCCCTTGCCACTTCTCCTTTGTACCGAAAGCCTGTCCTTATTCGAGCTGGAACCAGACCTGGCCACCCTGGCTTAGCCTTGGGGCTAAGTGCACCTTGGCAGGCTGCTTTTTCCCTCTGCTCTGCCGCCTTTGCATGGTCTTAGGGGTTCAGTTTTGTGTCTGAAAAATGAGTACTCAATTCCTGGCATGCTGTGTGCCTGCTGCTGATGGAAACTGGACATTTTGGTCTTAAAATCACAGTAAGTGTGTAGGTGTGCTTCCCGCTCCAAGCTGCGGCTCTTGATGTGGTGCAGAGAGGTGGTCTTCTTGTCTGCAGAGGGTAGTGTGAAACGTGGGAAAGGATCTCACTTCTCCCAGGGAAATCCAGCAAGCAAACAGCATCTTATCCCTGTCCCCTCCAAACTGGAGACTAAAACTGTCTTCCTCTCCTTTTTCATGTCCCAGAAAATAGTGGCATTTGCTACGTGGATTAATTCCATGAGCCTGGAAACAAGGCTGAAGCATAAGATCTTGGCATCATTGCCATAAATCTTGAGTAATTCAGCTCCAAATGAAAGTCTATGGCTGGAGATAGGAATGGTGGATGCTGTAGCATTAGCTCATATGTGAATACTGATTAATATAAAGCTCTAATGAATTTGGGGGAAAACTGGGGAATTTCTGTGACAATCTATTACAGAACTTTTTATTCTGAAAACACGTTAGAAAGGAGTATTTAGGGGTTTGGAGGTATAATTCAGCCTTATGTCCTCTTTCTTTGGAGAAGACCATTTACATAGAGCGTTTGAAGGGCTGCGGGCAAGCAGCGCTTCTGCAGGGCTTAAAGAGATGCTGTGACAGCACGTTCAGGTTCTTTCCCCTGTAACAGTTTTCCAAGTTATTCTGTTTCCTTGTGGTCTTGGAGATGGTTTAATAAAGCAATTGGGCCTCCCACTACTGCTTGTTTTCGAGTGGTGCAGGGAGGGGGTCTTCCCCTTGGGTAGCAGAGCAGAGAGCCAAGAGGGGAATATCAGGCCTAGAGGTTGGTTGAACTCCCCCTTGTGAGGAAAGTGCAGAAGGACACGGGGACGTGGCAGGGGAGTGGATACATGGTCATTCATTACATGACAAGTAGGGGAACATGTGGAATTGATCTGTATTTAATTCCATACAGCACACTGCATTTCTTACCATGACCCTCTTTAATGTTTCGAAAATACTTGTGGTTTTTATAGAACCGGAACATGACCCGAGTAGCTCTAAACCAACGAGTTCAGATAGCAGCAGTGACCTCACAGTTTCGGTGACCGAAGAGGATGATGTTGTAAATGCCACTGAACCGCAGCAGCGTCTCGGAGACACCCAGAGCAAGGTGGCATTAAAAGCAGTAAGCTCGGACCAAGAGGGAGACACCCGACCCCCAGGAGGTTTTTCTTTGCAATCACCAAATTTCCGTCCAGCAGAGGAAGAGCCTTCAGCCAGCTCCGTGCTGGAAGGGTATGTCACTATATCTTGCCTTGCAGCTGTTATTCACTTGCTCCTGTATAGTCTGAAAGCTGAAAGATAGTGCTGAAACACACTCAGGTGAGTAAATTTCTTAGGCTTTAGAAAAATCACTTAGTGTGGGCCTGTTTCCTGCCTCAGCTCAGGTGCATGGAATAATACAGTTCATCTGCCTGGTCGTTCCTCTGTGTCCCCCCACCCCCAGCTTTTCTCCTTAAATCTGTTCATGGATTCCAGTAGAGGACCAGTGGTAACATTCCCACTCTTTTGGAGGGGATGCATGTGCTTCCCCCAGGGAGAAAAGCTGTAGAGAGGCCTTGGGCCTTTTCCTCCAGGAAAAGGAGCTCCTGTCAGGCATCCTTACACATGCAGCTGGAACTGCAACTTTCCCCCTTGGCTAGTGGGAGAATCAGTGGGTGCAGCCAGCCCTGCAGGGAAGGGGCAGGAATATGTAGCCCGAGTCAATGGAAATGTACTTATTTAGTATCTCACTACATGTGTGGGAGTGATTACATGACTTCAAATAACTCATCTGGTTCAGAGATGGGCAAGTTAATATGCTTGTTGATAAAGAATATATTTATTACAGTTTATGGATAAGCAAATTTTATTCTAGTGTGTTTAGTTCATATTACCTCTAGCTTTCTGAATAGCATGCTTTGGGTAAAACTTGCAGCAGGTTAAAGACTGAGCATTTCATTTGGAATAGCTGGGAGAGAATGAAAAAGTTTGGCTCAAGTCATACAGGAGCCTAGAACAATCCTGTGGCTGCTGTCTTCATTCTGCCTCTTCTCTCCCAGCAGCACATTTGTTTTCCTATCTCTTTTCTTCTCTTACTTCCCTCATGCACTTCTCAAACTTTACAGTTTCGCATTTGCAGCTGCGTGTACCAGACTGCTTAATGGCAACATCACCTAATTTGCATCTAAATAGCTTTTACAGAGTGTTTCTTTAGCATAACACCTGTTAATCGTCACATGTTGTGGGACATGTAGCACTTGCCTTTGCCTGAGAAGTCAGAGCTGTGTGATGGTAACTTAACCTTTTGTTCCCCTTGTAGAAGTTTAGTCTTTTGTAAACAGATGAAAATGTTGTGCTGTGTTCTCGAAGCCCAGCAAAATTGTAAGAAAGGCTTCACTGTTTGCGTGGAGGATGTTTAAGGCTGAATGTTTCCTCTTGTGTTGCATCAAGCTGAATACCTTAGCTTCTCAAGGCCATAAACTTGGGATCTCTGCTGTTATCTTTTTCCAGAGAAAAGAGGAATTTGAATTTGTCTTATTTGAAACTTAAAATCCAGATAAAATGTTCAAAAATGGCAGTGATGGAGGATCTTGTGGGGTGATAATCTGTCTTCTTGGGGTATACTTCATAATGAAGCTCTTCAAGCAGATCTTTCCAGTGCACTTAAAATTCAAACCTCAATGTTTGAGTCTTGTAAAATAATTCATAAGTTTAAAATCTCAGGGAAGTTTCCAGGGAATGAATACATGGACTTCAGTTATATGAATTCTGTACCTTTGAAAAATGCTTTTTTATTTGAGTGTACAATGTCACAGTTGTACAAAATGCATAATGTCACTGCTCTTGTACTGGAATCCTTCCAGACAGTCCATATGTTTCACAATACTGAAATTTCTTTGCTGGCTGAAGGAATGGGAGAAAAGAGTTGTCTTTCCTACCTACCTTCAAGAGCTTATTTGGGAGAGAGGCAAAAATGACCTTAACACAAGGAAGTTTGTCATGATTTTACATCTAAGCGATTATTTCTTTTCAGTCTAGCTTCCAACTGGCATTTCCCACTTGGAAAAAATGAAAAATGCTGGGTGCCAACTTGGTGATGCCAGCAGGTTATTAACTGCAGAAAAGTTGCCCTCCTGGGACAGCGCTTGTTCAGCACAAGGCTTGGCACTGTTACAGGTAGTAGTGGAACCGGGTCGTTTTGGGACCTAGTAACAAAAATGCTGACTTTTACCAAACGTTCTGCACGGCTCTGAGCACTGCTGGCTGGACCTGTTGAATAGTGCTCACACACGTGTCCCTAAACCTTGCACCAGAAACTCGCCCTGTATGAAAGCACTGGCTAGAGGTGCTTTCTGGGGGCTTTTCTCCCACCTACTCAGTCCTCAAGCTCTGCAGAAAGGACTCAGCAAGGGTATTGATTTCACTGTAGTCTTGGGGGGGTTGCTACCTCTGGGGAGGGAGGAGTGCTTTAAGGGCACCCAATTTCACTTTGCCTCAGGTGAAGGGCTTTCCCAATAACTTTTGGTCTTGGGTTACTTGCTGCAGATTTGAACTGGTGAACTCGGGGTGAAAGGCTCCGTATCCCTTTACCATTCTTTAGAGTATCCAGCCTTTCTTTAAGGGCTTAAAGAGGGGAGGGGAAAGGGGTCGCTGAGAATTAGTGTCCAGAAAGATGATGACTATTTTAAGGCCTGTGTTGAAGGGGTGGAAAAAGGCAGAGCTTATGCCTGTGCTGCTTCAGCTGCATTGAAGAGGACTTAGCCCAGATGGATTGTGCATTACAAAATGTAACACATAATTCAAGCTGTCAGCTTAATCAGGCTGTTTCCAGGAAGCAACCTGTAAAAGAGAAGGACCTCTTGTTTGCTGACCTCTGATCCGTAGCCTGCTGCAGACTGTCATACATTTTGTTTTGCTTTATGTTGGTGTCCCTTCCTTCCCCTTCTTTTTTTTTATTATTGTATCCCCCTCAAGTGGCACCCTGGAAGGACCACCCAGAGGGAGAGAGAAGAGTTAGTCACGAAAACAGGTTTTTGTGGGACTTTGCTAAAAGGAAAAGCGCTGTTTAACTGCATATGTGATCTCTCTGGTATTGTTTTGTGTGGGGAATGTCCAAGGAGCTCAACTAAATGCGCAGCAGCTCAAGCCTAACTGTTTGCCGTTGTCAAGCAGCTTCACAGAAAGCCAAGTGCTCAATATATCTTAACGTAATTGCGAAGCCGATGTAAATCTCAGTGCGATCTGCCTCCTGAGGGAGTATAGACCATATTTAAAGACCAACTGTATAAATATGTCAGCTCCTGCAACAAAAGTCTCTCCGTGTCTGCAGGACGTTTTGGGAGCGCGTAGCCCAGCTGTGGCATTGCTTCGTGGAGCTCTTCCGTGGAAAGTCCTCAACAAAGCAGGCAGGCTGGACTCAAGATCTGAATAGCTATTTACACCTCTGTAAAAGGCTTAGCTGTGCTTCATTGTTTCAAAGTTTAAGTCCTAATTTGCATCATTATAGAGGTGCAGCTTCATCAAAATCCGTCTGAGGTCCCAGTTATGTCTTGGTACCTGTAGGTGGTCACTAGATTAATTCCTTTACCTCCAGGATCAGAATAAAACTACTTGGCGCGGGAGCAATCCAAATGTGTAAATTCAGGTTCTAGTTGTTTTTTGGACAGTTTTACTGCTATGACTAATGATTACTGTATGTAGTACCTGTAGTTGTGTGATATTCCATAAGTGGAAGAGAATGTGTTTGAGCTGTGGGATTTGGACGTCTCTCACTTGGACTGTTCAGTTGAGACAGGGACGGTACAGGGCTCCCATGGGGACATCGGTCTCATTCCTAGTAGGTTAGTGATACCCCTGCCTGCATTTCTAGAGGGTCAAGCCTGCTCATGTGAATCTCCTATCTGAGCACCCAGAGCTCTTTCATGATTTCTGAATATCCTCACTGTAGTTTGTTTTTATAAACAGCTTGTCTTATGGCTGTTTTATCTGCATAGTCATTTTTATAACTCTTGAAGTTCACAATAAGTTTGTAGCCTCCTACCTGCAGTATTCCCTTAGAACAGAGGAACTAGGTGAGAATTTAAACAGCTAGAGACGTTTGTCCAGTACAAACATTTTATGGGCAATTACAGCACTGGAGGTGCTGCTGGAAGTAAATACTGAGAAAAGATTTCTTTCTCTTTCTTTTTTTTTTCTTTAAGGCTGGGGTTATGACTAGTATTTATGGCAGAGCAGCTGAAGAACAAATGAGAAGCAGCCATCACAGAAGTCGAGAATGAAAGAGGAAGGGATCTTTTGATCAGATATAGTTGACTTTGTGGGAGAGAGGCAGGAGAAGGTTAAACTGGGTATTAGCACTTCAGAGGGAGGGCGGTTTGTTTGAACATGCAGGATCTCTACCTTTTTGCTAGAGCACAGAGACTCCTGAAGTATGTGCTCTGGAAATGGGAGACTCCTGAAGGAAATACAAGGAGGAAATGGCTTGCTTAGGAGCCTAAGAAAAACAACACCTAATGGATTTAAAAAAAAGAAAAAAAAAAAAAAAAAACTTCTAATCTAATGTTTCACTTGGCTTCAAAACAGTTTGAAAGAATGGTTTTTTTATAAATCAGGATTTTGTATGTCATTGGTGAAGTTGAAATTTGACATAGCACTATTCTACAGCTTATTTAATAGCAGAGGGACCAACTTGATATTTGCAGACCTACGTTTGCAAACTATTTAACAGTTCTGCCGTTTGAACTCCTGGTTACCCTCTCCTATTTTAAACAGAGCAAACCTCTGCTCAACTGAGACAACTGCAGAGCCCATGAGGCAACGTCACCCTGCATGGGGCTGAGCTTAGAGCATCAAGAAAACGTTCATAAATGCCAAAAGAAGACCATGTTGCAGTGGGCTTTTGGGGGATGC